GGCCTAGTGGAATCCAGGGAGTCTGGGTTTGCCAGGTTGAAGGCCACCTAAGCTAGTAAGGCCTCTAAGGGGGAGGGTATAGAAGATGCCTCAAGCCTCTCTACATCCCTCGGACACTCCCACCTCATACCTTACCCTCCTCTCCACCACAACCTCGTTTAGTTCTTTCTCAACCTTCCTTTTCTTTGGGGCACCTCAATGGCACCGCGGTATCCCTGTCCCACCCTGAACCAGACCCAGTAACGTCAGACGATGAGAGTAGGAGGAAGTGGCTTACAAGCATCAAACCCAATTTACAGATGGAAAAACTGAAGCCCGGAGAGGAGAAGACTTGCCCAAGTGCCTGCTATGAGGGAAGAGACTTTATGGCGTCCCTTTCAGACAGAGGGTACGTTGCAGAGTTTCCTCCTCTGAGACCCAAGTTAACCTCCCTCCCCTGCCCTTTCTTCTCCTAGAGCAGTGTTTTTCCACTTGAGGTGATTTGCCCCCACCTCCATTTCCAGGAACAGTTGGCAGTGTGTCTGGAGAGACATCTTTGGTTTTCAAAACTGGGGGCTGCTACTGGCTAGTGAGAAGAGAGGAGGCATGCTGCTAATCATCCTCCAATGCACATGACAGCCCCATGCCAAAGAATGATCAAGCCAAAACGTCAATAGTGCCAAGGTTGAGAAGCCTGCTCTCGGACCTGGTACTGAACGAACTTCCCAGTGGGCTCCGGAGCCCTGGGTTCTTCGGTAGCCAGGGACTTGAAGAGGATGCTATATAGTGTCTCCTAGGGTCATGCCTGCCTCCATCTTGCCATGTCCATTTCTAAGCTCCAGTGTTCTTAATGCCACTCATTTACAGAGGGGACAATATTATTAGTATATGTCTTTGTAATGGTTTGCTGGAGGTAGGCAAAACAAGTGTTTTTCTGAGGGCATGGATTAAAATGAGAATGGAGAGTGGAAAGGTGCAGAGAAAGAAAAATGATTGGGATTAAATGACTGTCCTGAGATAGCAAGCTGTACCTTCGACATACCTCTCACCCTTCCATCCCTTCTCACTTGGTCTGTGAGAAGAGTGAACTGAGACCCAACAATGTGGAGAGGCCAAAGCTGGGTCCTACAACTGGCCAGTGGTGGTGCTGGGACTCACAATTCTATTCACTTATTTTTTTAAAAAAATACATATGTTTTTATTTCAGAGAGGAAGGGAGAAGAAGAGATAGAAACATCAATGATGAGAGAGAATCATTGATCGGCTGCCTCCTACATGCCTCCTACTGGGGATTAAGCCACAACTCGGGCATGTGTCCTTGGCCGGATTAGAACCTTGGACCCTTAAGTTCACAGGCCGACACTCTATCCACTGACCAGAACTGGCTTGGGCAATTCTATTCACTTATTAACAAACTTTTGCTATCATCTAATCTACATTAGGCCTAGAACTAAAGCCTGTGTTGTAAAGTGATTGCTTTGGAGCTAAAAGGGGGATTAGATTATCAGGGACAAAATGGGGACCAGGGAAGTGGCTGGGACAAAGATGGAGGTGAAGGATGTGGAAAGCAGAGCCTGTGGAGCTGTAGGAGAAAGGGGAGGAACCAGGAATCCTCTGTGCTCCTCCCAGGCACCCCCTCACAGAGACATGTAACCAGGGGCTCCCTTTGGAATACTGATCCTTTGCATCTGAGGAAAACTTGGACTTTCCCTCTGGAGAAATGTGCAGATGTACACTTTCCATATAATTTCAGGGGCTCCAAAACTCTATATTGGCTTCCAGAAGGGTTGGGGGGATAATGGTAGAGGTTGATTCTTAAGTACATACAGAAGAATAAACATGCAGGCATTTTAAAAAGCTAGAAAAAAAAGTAATTGATAAGGGTTTACCTTACCTGATATTAAATTATGCGATAAAGTCAGCATATTTAAAGCAGTATGATATTGAGGCAGACCTAGAGGAATCAGTGGGACAGAATGGAGTACAGAAATGGCCAACCATACA